GAAGAAGATGATGTTGGAAAAGAGGATTATCCTGCGGTCGTTTGTGATTTTCTGGACGTGTTTCCGGAGGATTTGACAGAGTTGCCTCCACACCGAGAAGTGGAGTTCTCTATTGATGTGATGCCAGGTACCGCGCCGATTTCTATGGCACCATATCGAATGGCCCCAGTTGAATTGGAAGAATTGAAGAGGCAACTTGATGATTTGAGGATGAAAGGTTTCATCCGACCGAGTGTGTCACCGTGGGGTGCACCGGTCTTATTTGCTAAGAAGAAAGATGGATCTTTGAGGTTGTACATTGATTACCGGAAGTTGAATCATGCCACCATCAAGAACAAGTATCATTTGCCAAGGATAGATGATTTATTTGATCAGTTGAGGGGAGCCAGTTGTTTCTCGAAGATTGACTTGAGGTCTGGCTATTATCAGTTGCGGGTTAGGGATGAGGATATCCCGAAGACAGTATTCCGTACACGGTATAGACACTATGAGTTCCTTGTTATGCCTTTTGGCTTGACGAATGTGCCAGTGGCATTCATGGACTTGATGAACCGCGTCTTTCACAATTACTTGGACCAGTTTGTGGTAGTTTTCGTGGATGACATTCTTGTGTACTCACGGACTCGGGAAGATCACGAGGTCCATTTGAGTATTGTTTTACAGATTTTGCGGGAGCACCGATTGTATGCCAAATACGAGAAATGTGAGTTTTGGCTACAGGAGGTGAAATTTTTGGGGCATGTTGTTTCAGAAGGTAGAGTATCAGTTGATCCATCAAAGGTTGAAGCAGTTTTGACTTGGGAGCGACCCAAGAATGTGTTTGAGATCCGCAGTTTCCTTGGTTTAGCGGGTTACTATCTGAGATTTGTGAAGGATTTCTCCCGTTTGGCAGCTCCTATGACCCGTTTGACCCGGAAAGGGGTCAAGTTTGTCTGGAATGAGGCATGTGATTCATCTTTTCAGGAGTTGAAGACGAGATTGACTACAGCTCCAGTGTTGGTGATACCTAAGCGTGGCTTGGGTTATGTGATCTATTGTGATGCTTCACGTGACGGGTTGGGATGTGTGTTGATGCAGGATGGTAGAGTAGTGGCTTATGGGTCTCGACAGTTGAAGACTCACGAGTACAACTACCCTACTCATGACCTGGAGTTAGCGGCAGTTGTGTTTGCCTTGAAGTGTTGGAGATATTATTTGTATGATGAGAGATTCGAGGTATTTTCAGATCACAAAAGTCTCAAGTACCTTTTTTACCAAAAGGACTTGAACAACAGACAGAAACGATGGGTTAAGTACTTGAAAGATTACAACTTTGATTTGCAGTATCATCCGGGCAAGGCAAATGTTGTAGCTGATGCCTTAAGCCGAAAATCTCATGGAACTTTGGCCAGTTTAGCTATTCGGAAGTGGAAGATACTTGAAGATCTGGCAGAGATGGGATTACAGTGTTTTGATGATGATGGTTACAGTGAGTCGGCATTCTTATTTAGTCTTGTGGCTCAGCCTACTCTTGTTGTACGAGTGATTGAGTCACAGAGACAGGACCTGGACTTAGATGCCATCCACGCTTTGATCTCTAGTGGTGAGACAGTGAAAGATTGGGCCTTGCATGCCGATGGGGGTCTACGGTTCAGGGGTTTGTTGGTGGTTCCCACAGTATGTCGTGAGGATGTCCTACGAGAGTTTCACACTTCCCGTTTTGCAGTTCATTTAGGTGCTACCAAGATGTATCACAATTTGAGACGTCAGTATTGGTGGAACGGGATGAAAAAAGATGTTGCACAGTTTGTGGCTAGATGCCTTACCTGTCAGCAGGTGAAGGCCGAGTATCAGAGACCAGCCGGTTTGTTGCAACCATTACCTGTAGCGCAATGGAAATGGGAGCATATCGCTATGGATTTTGTGACAGGTTTTCCAAGGTCACGAAGGGGCAATGAATCCGTATGGGTCATCATTGACAGATTGACCAAGACGGCTCACTTTTTGCCTATTAAGGCAACAGATGATGCAGAGAAGCTTGGTGTATTTTATGTGAAAGAGATTGTAAGGTTACATGGAGTCCCTGTAACCATTGTGTCAGATAGGGATGCTAAGTTCAGTTCGAAGTTCTGGGAATGACTTCAAGCAGCATTTGGTTCAGCGTTGCATCTTAGTACGGCATTCCATCCACAGACAGACGGTCAGTCAGAGCGTGTTATCCAGATTTTGGAGGATATGCTTCGGGCATGTGTACTTGATTTGGGAGGTAGTTGGGAGGATCACCTTCCACTTATTGAGTTTGCCTACAACAACAGTTATCAGGCGAGCATCCAGATGACTCCATTTGAGGCGTTGTATGGTAGACCTTGTAGGTCTCCTGTTTGTTGGACTGAGATAGGCGAAACAACCGCCTTAGAACCCGACATTGTACTCGAGACTACTGAGAAGATTAAGTTGATAAGACAGAGGTTACTTACAGCTCAGAGCTGACAGAAGAGCTATGCAGATAAGCGAAGAAGACCGTTATCCTTTGAGGTGGGAGACCACGTTTTTCTACGGGTTTCTCCACGGAAGGGATTGATGAGATTCGGAAAAAGTGGCAAGTTGTCGCCACGATTTATTGGACCGTTTGAGATTTTGGACCGAGTAGGAGAGGTTGCCTACAGGCTTGCTTTGCCACCACAGTTGGATAGGGTCCACAATGTTTTCCATGTATCGATATTACGGAAGTACGAACCGGATCCATCTCACATTTTGAGTTGGGTAGATGTGGACATTGATGAGGATGTTTCCTACGAGGAAGGACCAGTTCAAATTCTTAATACACAACAGAAGGTGTTGAGGAACAAGACGATACCAATGGTGAAAGTCCTTTAGAGACACCACGGAGTCGAGGAAGCTACTTGGGAGCTTGAACAGGAGGTTCGGTCCAAGTACCTAGCGTTGTTTTCTTCCTCAGGTATGTCTTGATTTCGGGGACGAAATCCTTATAAGTTAGGGAGAATGTGATGGCTGTGTATTTATTGTGTGTGTGTGTGTAGTGTAATATAAAAGTAAAAGAAAAATAATTTAACGGTGGGGCCCACAAGGCACTTTAGAAAAGGGTCAAGACCATAAAGTTGGTCTCATTTTCCTGATTCCCTTTCTCTCTCTTCGTGCATCTCTCTCTCAACCCGTAAGCTCATTTTTCTCTTATTTTTTGGTTTCAACTTTAAGGTTAGATTTCTCACTCATTTCTTGCTGAAATTAGGTTCCGTTTGAGGCAAAACGAAGCTCGTGTCAAGCTCTATACATCCATACCATCAATTTCCAGTTTTGAGTCTTCCTTGGAGCTCGAATTTGAGGACCCATTTTCTAAGGTTTTGGTGCAATCTTGAGGTAGGGGCCCTTAATTCATGAAATCTTGTACCTTAGTGAGTTAATTGCCTCTAATTGTTGTTTAATTTGATTAGTTGTTTAAAATCTAGAGAATTGTTGATATGTACGCATATATGTTAGTTGTGTGACTATATTTGTTGATTGTTCTATGTGAAGCATGTTTAAGACTTGATTATATATGTTCATTGTGCTAGAACTTGTTATGTATAAGCATGTTATGACTTTTTTGATTATTCTTGCGAATTATGCCATGTTGCTTAAATTGGATAAAGTATGGAATGATGAACTTGTGTATGTTATTGAGGTATTCATGCATTAACATTGGGCAGGAAAAGGGAAAGAATTGATTTACTTCAAAAAGGGGAAATTTCGGGAAAGTGTTTTTGATGAAATGATTTTATGCGAAACCCGGTCGCTGCGGGGTTACCAACGGGCCGGAGGTTAATATAGCCTAGAGGGGACTAGGGAGTCGCCCTAGTGTGGTTGAGCTAGCTGGGCCCCATAATGACGCTGCGGGGTTACCAAGAGTCAGGGACACTAGCCAATCTTCCTCTCGTGTCGCGGCGGGGTTACCAAAGGGCGGGCTGTATTAACGTTTGAAAGTGATAATTTTGAGAATGAAAATGGAGAGTGTCATTGACATGCATTGCATTTCATTGCATTGCATTGCATTGTTTATAATTGGAATTGAATTGTATGTTGTATTTGATCCCCTACGTTGTATGATCCCTATCTCCCATTGGCCTATGCTTTGCTTGAATTCACAAGGACACAAGATTTGTGTCTTAAGTGTCTCTGCTGAGTTATATGCTCACCCCTATATCTATATATTTTTTTTCAGGTCTTGGAAAAGAACCGATAGACGACAATCCACCCCAACTTTGAAAGTTGCTAGAGGAGCATTTTCCTTGTTATTTTGTAATAGACTACTCCTTTGTTCATCCCTCATTTTTTGTAAAATTCCAAAGGTGTAATGATGTAAATTTCTTTTGAAGAACCATGATCATGTAATACACTTATGATACTTAATGACATATGGGATGCGAACTTGATGATATGTAACTTGTTGATGAATGGAAGGATAATCATAACTTGAAGCATTGTCTAGATTAGTAGGTTGTATCATTATCTTTTGTTGCCGTGAATTCGGAAATTATTTGCATGACAGGTTAAATATGTATTTAAACAGGTTACGGTAGGTCCATTTTTAGGGGAGGTTATGCCGAATTTTTTTAAAAAAAAAAAATTGTTGGCATTAGTTTTGGGATTGTTACATGGGTTAGGTTTGATGACATTTATGGTCAAAACTTAAATTAAATAAATAAATAAAACTAATTTAGCAACTTTTTTCATATAAAAAAAAAAAAAAAGAAAAAAAAGAAAATTTGAGATATATCAGTCTTACAGTCTTACTTTTACTAGTATTTTCGGTTTGTAATCCATAAACTCCAATCAAACTCTAATCAAATCAAATCAAATTAATTTAACTAATTTAAATCATGATTCGTTGTGTGAGTTGATAGGCGATATATCGATTGATTAGTAATATTTAATTAATTCTTAATATTTTTTTAAACCTAAGCAAACCCTATAGAAAATCGGTTGGATTCACATGAGATCGACTATAAAAGGAGCGACAACCCTAGAGATGTTGCACACTACTTGATCTTATCCGAGCGGTGCTGGGTTTGTGGGGGCGGGGATGGGAGAGAGTCTCACCCACCGCCTTTAATAGGGTGGCCGACGGCGGCTACGCTCACTCACCACCACTTACGCCTCCCCCATCTTACACTGCGATGAAGACTGCCCGCAGTCATAGCCCTCCTTAATTTCATTGATTCATCGAATCAATGAATTGGGCGATGATGGCCAAGCGGGCTATTCCCATCAAACTAAAAAAAACTCACAATTTCGATTCTTTTTTCTTTGATTTTTTATTTATTTATTATTGTTATGATTTCTGTATCTTCTAGTGTTTGTATAGGTTATGATGCAGATAACATTCAAATAAAAAAAACCCTCGGAAGCATTCTCAAAAATCAGAATGAATATTATGTGGTTAGGTCTCAGAACTTTGTTATAAGGGTTAGTATCTACTTTACTCTTGATTGAGGTTTGTATTAATGATTCAAATAACATTATGTGATGCAAAAACCCTCTTAGTGCATGATTTTAACGGAAACAAATCATGTAACGGGACTGTAATTATATATAGATATGGATATAATTATACACACATGCCCTAACTCTATATTACTGAAAGTAAGCTTGCAGAAAATCAATCAATTGTATAACAATTAACAAGAGTACCTTCAAGAATATACGACCTACATATGTGTGTAATTATGTGGGTGCTTAGAACTTTCTTTAGAGTTGGTCATTATTATACTTGTTGATTGATTTGCTCTAAACTTTCTTTAGGGTTGGTGTTATTATACCCTTGATTGGTTTGCTCTGAAGACAACTAAGTTGTCCGGTTTCGGTACATTAGGGCAGGACAGGACTTGGTATGTATTGGTCGCCTTCGTTTCTTGGTACTTAAGAATGGCAAACTTATATATAAATTCATGCCCTCACAGTAGGGAGTTGTTTGAGTTGGTTTAGCTCTATTGGGTGTTCAGAGCTCTGTGAATTAGTCACTTATTTGTATATGTTGAATGCATCTATAAGATTTATATCAATTTAAATCTCAATATGCATAACCTTTTATAATGTCAATCATGCAAAACCTGTTGTATTCTCTTGATTAATTCTCAGGATATTGGTAGATGACAAAATTCTGTTTGGAGGATATGCAGATATGAGATTCCTGGAGTGGTTGGTCCAATTTTTGAGTTGCTTGAGTTAATTTTCATGGTACATATTTACTGATTCATGGCATTGACTTCCTAAGCATCTACCCCTTATTCCTGAGTCCTGTGTTACATGGTCCCAAATTAAGGTGTTTTCACTATTGCTGATCTATCCGGGCCTTCTTGGCCTATGCTTGAATGTCATGTTTCAATTTTCAACGACTTAATGTATGCTTGAATGTTATGTTTCAACTTTCAACGACTTAACTTATATGTAAGTAAATTAATCGCTTGTAAGCTTAATTTATATGATTAATTCAATTTGCATCATTATTCATTGTTGATCTGGATTCAAACTTTTAACTGGCAAAGTTTCTATCAATTTAGATTTCACTTGAAGTTTGTCAATTTTGGAATTGGTTTATGTAGATATAATTGCAAAGATATGACCTTTTTGTGCAGATAATTACAGGATACCATCTGAGTCATCTGGCTATGGGATGGCTTTGGATGGTCAAAGGTAGATGAGTTCATTGGTGTTTGAAGTTCATAACTATCTTCTCAAACAAATGCAGCCCAGAAGAGTTGCTTGCTCATTTTAGAAGACTCACAAGTGCCCATGGCAAGTTTTGGCCTTCTAGAACTTTCCTTGATTTATTTTTCAAATTGTATTGATATGCTTCAAGTTGAGTTAGGCTATGACATTGCATGTTCCTGGATTGCATCCAATGAGAAATCCTCTACTTTTTTTCTGAAATCCAATTTACTGTGTTTTAGATACTGATTTGAAGTCTTCTTGTTACAATGGAAGAATGAGATGCAATTACTCTGGAAATATATGGCACTGGAAGTGCAAGTTCCATATAGATAGAAAATTTGATATCAGCAATGTAATGTGGAAAAGAAGTCATTTGGTTTTCAAATGCACTCTTAGCTATGCTTGGGGGAATTATTGTTGGAATTCACATCTTTCTGTTTGAACTAATTTTTCTTCAATGGTTCTTAACACTAACCTTATGTACTAAAAATCACTCACATTATATGATTTCATATATTGCCTATTAATAGCTTTAAAAGGGGGCTAAGGGTGTTTTAGGGATATTATAACTTAAAATAGTCATCTGCAACCCACATGTGACTTCTTAAAGGTCTAAGAAGTCATTTTCTGATAGTTGCAACATTTTTTCACACAGCAGTGGTGTTATTTGCACAAAATGTAAATATTAGGGGTGTTTGTTTTTACTTTGTCATTTACAAAGGGGAGGCTTTATGTTAGCCCCAGCCCTGTAACACTTTACCATTAAGGTAAAACAGCAGCAGAATATACACAAATAATTAATTATAATAAATAAAAATAGAAATTGAAGGATAGATCTTTGCTCAAAACATATCAATAACAAACTTTTTCATTAAAAGATTTTCCGAGAGAAAATAAAACAGTCTTCAATCTCCTCTTTAACAATGAATTGCCCTTTAAATTTGCTGTAGGTCTGGCAGAGACCCTCTACACAAACCACACCAACCCTTCACAACAACAATCAAATAAACACCCAGAAGGGACAAAAAGAACTACAAAAGATGGTCCAAACCATCCAACCAGGGCCATTTTAAAAGTGCCTATCTTGATATAACAGTCAGTATATTACAGACTATGAGTTAGTTTTTTCGGAAAATGACTATGTAGTTAGTTCAAGAGGCTAGAAAGGGCTGTTAATATTAAAAGTTTGCGTTTGTAAGGGACTTTTAGAGTTGAAGTTTGTTTCTGTTAGTTTCCGATAAGCAGGGAATGAGTTAAAACTCACCCGTGAAGGTTTGGCCAAAACCCCAGTTTGTAGGAGCGGCGTTGGTGGAGGTTATAGAGCGTCCATAGCTTGTTGTGACCTTGAAAGAGAGGGTCTGGCCATTCAGGCAAGTGTAGCTTTGCCCAGTTTTGGCCCCAATTGCGAGACATTTGTTGCCAACCAGTTTTATAACCTTCGATGGAGACGGAGACTAACACCACCAGAACCGCCAACATTGGTTACGAGGACGAGATTGAAGTACGAGTGGCCATTGATTGTGAATCCGATTCCACCTCTCTTCCTACATGCAGCCCTGCAAGTTGAAAAGGGGAACAAATAAAATTCAGATTTGAATTGAAGGATTTAACCCGGCAGAACATCGGGGCTGGTAAACAAATCCTAGAAAATACTCGAGCTTAACTTGTTATTTAATGACCAAATAGAAAGAAAAAAAAAAAAAAAAAAAAAAAATCAAATGAACAAACAGATATGCAGAGCTTGATTTCTGGACCGGTGAATGTAAAAAATTAATTTCAAAAACTGATTTTAAAAAACTGATTATGTAAATGGGGATGAGGATGTGAGCTGCCCCAAACTGCTCCATTGCTATCGTTATAACTGCACGCCAGTACGTCACTCAATATCTATATATGTATCAATATCAATGAGCTTAACAGAATTTTCAGATCCTTTCTCTGGTATGGTCCAGAAATGAAATCTAATGGAGGGAAAATTGCATGGGGACCAGTCTGCAAGCCCAAGGTTGAGGGAGGTTTAGGTCTTCCCAACTTGGAATTGTCAAATCAAGCAGCAATTTTGAAGTACATTTGGGAGCTTCAAACTGATACCTCAAACAGAATATGAATCAATTGGTGTAAAATTCATCTCATTTAAGGGAGGAACCTCTGGACCTTGAAGATTCCTCACTCTTGCTCCTGGAGTTGAAGGAAAATTTTGCAGCTAAGACACCATGCAAGGCATTTTATCAAGCATCTTATTGGGAATGGGATTGATACTTCTTTCTGGATTGACAATTGGTCTATTGGAGGGACTCTGTGTTTAAGATTCCCAGCAACCATTCTCTCACTCTTAGGAATTGATGAAAATACAAGTGTGGCAAACTTCATTGTCAACAATAACTGGAATTTCCCACCTGTTCTCCTCTCTGCTATTCCAGAGCTAACCTCACTCCAACAACCTGCGCCTCTTAGGAAGGACAAGTTGATTTGGACTATTTCCCCCTCTGGTTCTTTTAGCTTGAAGCACACAACTTTCTACCTCATGGATCATGGTCCTTTAGTTCCATGGCATAACCTTGTGTGGCACACAGCTTCTATCCCAAGAATGAAATTTAACATGTGGCTAGCAGTTCAAAGCAGGCCTCCCACACTCGATTCTGGAGCTATGGCTCACCATGGAAACACCTGTGTCCTTTGTGGAATTGACAATGAATCACACTCCCATCTCTTCTTTAGATGTGCTTTCTAAGCCCCTCTTTGGTTCTAAAATTATTTTCTCACATGAGAAACATGATTATGTGGATCAGTACCCGATGAAAGTCAAATTCTCCTATGAACATCCTTAGGAAAATTTCCTTGTCAGCACTAGTATATCACAAATGGGAGAAAAGGAACAACCGCATCTTCAGAGGGAATCCATCAACGCAAAACAGGGTTCTAACAAAGGTCTACAACTCAATCACATCCTTGCTTCGATTGGGCTGTCTAAGGGATTGCATGGCCTCTAGATCGATTCTGAGTAGTTGGAATCTCTCCCCTTCTTGTTGTAGACCTCATCCCCGACCTCCAAACTAAGGGGTGGAGGGTCCCTCCTCGGTCGCCACAGGGTTCGCTAACCGGATTTAATTTAAGTTCTTCAACTATCAGTTACAACTGCTACTTGAAGTTCTTTTTGCTTTTGGGTTGGGCTACTGCTTTGGGTTGCTCGAGTGTTAGGGCTGGGTTGCCTCTGGGCTTGTTTTGCCTGTGAAAGGTTGTTTTTGCCCAAAGGCCTTCTTTGTACCTTTTTCACTTTATATATACAATTTGCTTTAATATTTTTTTAAAAATAAAATCTATAGTCAGATTTTCTTAATATCGTCTCATTTATGAATCGATGAAATGACAATAGAGAGAGTGGAATTTGGTTGTGGTTCCCGAGGCCTCGCTTGGGACACTGTATGTGTTGGTTGCAGGTGTCAAATTTGTCCAACCTAGCTACATTAATGTTAATGTTGGCATTGATACAGTTTGTACTTCAGGTAATATACACTTCCTAATCTTCTTCTTCTTCTTCTTCTTCTTCTTTTTTTTTTTTTTTTTTTTTTTTTTTTTTTTTTTTTTGTCATTCGAAGGCACAAAGGCCTAAAACCAAGATGGCAATACAGAGGTATATAAAGCCAAGCCAGAAAAGGCATACAAATCGTGAAGCAAAGCTAATAAATGAATAACAGGCTCTAGATTTGGAGAGAAAAAGAGCAAATCGTGAAGGTGTTTCAATAGTTTAGACATGTTTTGGTGCATTTGGCTGTCCATTATTAGGAAGGGAGATTCATATAGGATAATTTCATTTTTAGGGAAGGTCCGAATAATATCTCAAAATAGAAGAGAGGTCCTTGTAATTATGACAAATCATAGGGGAGGTCCATGCAATATACTCATATTTTATTATTATTATTATTATTATTATTATTATTATTTTTGACCAACTTAATTGATATAATAAAAACATTTTTTATGTCCATATCATCAATTTTTCATTTTTCAGTGAATAATGCTTGCATGATACATCATACATCTAGTACCGCAATCAATGATATAAAGGAACTCAGGAATAGTTTTCATAGCTTTTAAAGTTAAATTGAATCTTTCTTTGGTAAAGATATTGTCAAAAATACATAATGTGGTGAATAAATCAGTGCCCAATAGAAACACCTCTCACATTCTCATGTGCTACTCAACCAATTCTTCTAGGTTTCTCAGTTCAATCCGGAGAAAATTACCCCTCACATCCCATGTTAATTGACACGTTGACACTAGACAAAATAAAAATGTAGAAATAACAATTTCAGAATGCTCATCCAAATAATTTTTCTAACTCACCAAAAAAAATTCAGAATGCTAACCATACAATATGCATATGTAAATGTTAAATGACCACTTACCCAAAAAATTATGATAATAATTTGAAAATGCTAAAAAAGCTAAAATTTAATCCTAAAAGGCAGAAGTATCATGATGTGTATATCTTAGAATGTTGACAAGTCTAATATTAACAATGATATGATTTTAGAAGTTTCAGATATATCTCCTGTACTTGATTGTTTCATCGACTCCTAGCTCACATCACCTGCAGTTTTAAAAGAAATAGATAATTTTATTAGAAAAGATGATTTTACTTGCAATTTGATTAGACAACATTGTTGGGGTGCATCACCTGCACTTTTGAAGAAACTAGAAATTTCCATGTCAGAGACTCAGAGATTGCCAGGAAAGTGTCCCCTTGTTTAGATACTCTATCCAACTACCGTGCAGAAAATCGGGTTGTCATACAGAAGATGAACTTTGTGTCGAAGTGGGGAAGATCAAATATGTCTATGTTCTTCCGTGCCAGATGCCTGCTGGATTTGAAAAAGGAAATTCAATAAATGTGCCCTTCATAGGACATGGAAAATATGCTAAGATACTAAGGTGTATTTCGAAATAATATCACTTATTTATTTATTTTAATGATAGATTAGGCATCAGCATACTCGCCCCTTGTAAACTCTCAACCCTCCACTTTGCCTTCAGACAGATAGACTAAGCCCGTTACTTGGTTGTCCTAGTAATATAGATAAATAAGCCACAATGCATAAAAGGAGGCTGACAATAATTGAGTTCATTCTTCTTGATTAGAACAAAGGTTGTGATCTTAGTTGCCGTTTCATTTGAATCCCATACACGGAAGGGAAACTTTCATTCATACACAGCCCACAGTCTC